ATTTGAACTTTAGTCATGCAACTTGTAAGATCCAATAAATGACAGGGGGGTTGAGAATAAAAATGAGCATAATGCTTATAATAGAAAATTATCTTTAAAAACCAATTTCTGATATATAAAAACCAATGTCAATGTCACTAAAAATAACACTGACATGAGCTAAATATCCCAACAGTTGTCATGTTAAAATTTCTTTAATTTGATGAGAAATATTTTGTCCCCTGTTGTGTGAAGAGACAATTTCAAATAGTACCATCTATGTACACTGCCCATCTCTCTGATATTGTTAGCAACAACCATTCTGCTCATCCAACTGCTCCAAAGCTTCAAGCAATGGGGTGGAAGATTATGCAAATAGCAAGTTCTGAAAATATAATAAACTCAGTAATAAATTTTGCGTTAATTGGTAAAGTGTATCTCAGTTTGATAATGTAACCTAGTATCCCATACAGGTTCACTTATTTGATTCTATAAAAATGGGACCCAGTTTAAGGTGTAAATTCTTTTTAAAATTTTTTAAATTTATTTTTAGAGAGGGGAAGGGAGGGAGAAAGAGAGGGAAGGAAACATCAATGTGTGGTTACCTCATACACCTCCCACTGGGGACCTGGCCTGCAATCCAGGCATGTGCCCTGACTGGGATTTGAACCCATGACCCTTTGGTTCTCAGGCTGGTGCTCAATCCACTGAACCACACCAGCCAGGGCTAAGGTAGGAACTCTTAACTAGGGTATATGAATATATTTCAGTCTCTGAGAACCCTCTGAAATGGTAAAATTTTCTCTGTGTGTTAATGTATTTTTATATGGAGAGTGTTCATAGCCTTGCTTAGATTTTCAAAGAGTACATGACGAAAATAAATCTAGGGTCCCTGGTTTAAGGCAACCTCAAATGAGTTCAACAACATCCCTATCTGCCTTTCTTTCTAGTACCCCCCTGTTCTTTTTTGACAATAGTGTGTGGAAAGATAACACATAGAAGTGAAAATTATTATCATGAAGAAGTAGATTTAAAAGCTAGATTGGGTAGCAATACAAAGATTCCAAAGGGAATATAGTCAATAAGAGTGAGATAACTGTGCGTGGTGACAGATGGTTACTAGACTTAGTGTGGTGATCATATTGTAAGATATGAAGTGTTAAATTACTATGTTGTACAGCTGAAACTAATATGATATTGTATGCCAACTACACTTTAATAAAAACAACACGAGATACCACCCATTAGGATGGCTGTAATAAAGAAGACAAATATTTTTAAATGTTTGCAAAGGTGTGGAAAGATTAGAATCCTCGTACACTGCTTAGTGGGAATGTAAAATTATGCTTCTGCTTTAGAAATCAGTTTGGCAATTCCTCAAATAGTTGAACATAAAGTGATATGACCCAATAATTCCATAACTAGGTATACACCCCAGAGAAATAAAAACATATGTCCCCAAATATGTTGTTTTATTTATCATCTAGGATTGTAGTGTCTACACCCTTTGACAATAGTCATATGAATGCAAAGTTGTTTCTGAAAACTTTGGCTGAACTGAGGTCATCTAAAACTTTCAGGTGAATAAAAAGTAGAGCCCTGGCTGGCGTAGCTCAATAGATTGAGCGCGAGCTGCGAACCAAAGTGTCGCAGGTTCGATTCCCAGTCAGGGTACATCCCTGGGTTGCAGGCCATGACCACTAGCAATCACACATTGATGTTTCTCTCTCTCTCTCTATTTCCCTCCCTTCCCTCTCTAAAAATAAATAAATAAAATCTTCTAAAAAAGTAGAAAACTTAGTAAGTTCATGACAAATGAAAACATAACATTTAGAAATACATGCACCATGCGGTTCTGTTAAGATAATTAAACAGAGGCAGTGGTAGAAATGCAAATCTGAAGTTGTCTCTAGATCAGTCAACTAAAAGGACATAGAAGAGTTAAATTAATTTTACCCTCAACAGCATTACAATTTTAATAGATTGAAAATAGAAAGCTTCAAATTTTAGGGTAAATTATAATCAAGTGGGAAGGGGGTTAAAATGTCAATTGTTTTCTATCTCATCTTGGCTTATGACCTTCTCTATTCCCCCTTGATATTTTACATCTCACAGAACTTTCAAGACTCAACACCCAGTATCCCTGACACACAGACTCTTGTGATTCAGAAACAACTTCAGATTCACATTTGTATTGGGTCCTGCAGAACCACATTAATAAGTATTTCCTAACTGTCCAAGGTAATTTATGAATGGTATGACAGTGGTAAGTATAATAACAATTTTTGACTAATTAGTAACCTACATTCTTTAATGTCCTAAGAACAAAACTTCCCCCCGCCATACACAAAGAGTCTTATTCAGCTGTTAGAATCATGTAGTCATTGAACAAGACTGGACATGAGACAATACAGGCCCTCGGGGGTCTGGGGTGATCTGCCTGAGCTCCTTCCTGGGACTTCCAGATGCACCAGCGAGCAGCCAGTGTGTTCACTGGCGTTCTTTGAGGTTTCTCACATCAAAGGTTATAGCCACAGTGTGTTCAGGGGACATGCTGCAGCCTCTTGGCCCAGGGTCCCTTATAACAAGTAATGCCCAGGACTGGACAGAGACCTCAGGGTCTCCAGGGTGCTCTTGGAGTGTCCTTGCTGCCCTGTCAAACATAGATGGACGTTTTCACAATACCCCAAAGTAGTAGTCTCAAGTACCAAAACCTCAAGCAGGGGCACCCTACAAAATCAAACTGCTATATTTATCCCAAAACTAGTTTTTATGGCACTTGAAATAATGTACCAAAAAAGCTATAAGTCATATTTACCAGGACACATGTGTTAAATAAGGACACTGTTTCCCATTAGTGCACATATGCACAGGGCAATTATGGTGGTTCCTGGAAGAACAAAACTTTTGCTTTCTCTCTACAGTGATTGTATTTTGTTTTCATCGAAATTCTTTTTTTGTAGATTTGCTTATTTATTTAAGTATAGTTGTCATAAATATTGTATTTTTTACAGGTGTATGGCACAGTGATTCAACATCTCTATATCTTATGATGTGATTATCACACTGAGTCTAGTAACCATCTGTCACTATGCCAAGTTATCACACTATTATTGACTGTATCCCCCACTACCCTTTTCATCCACCTCTTTCTGCCTGGCAAACATCACTTTCCTCTTTGTTTCTGTAGTTTGTTTTGTTTTGTTAATTTGTTTTGGTTTTTTAACTTCACATATAAGTTGAATTATGTCTTTCTCTGACTTATTTTGCATAGCACAGCTTCTGGGTCTATCCATATTGTCGCAAATGGCATTGAAATGCAACAGCCAGATTTATTTTGGAGTTTACTAACATTGTCAGGACCTGGATCTGATACTGTGCCAATTTGCAAACTTATTTCAAATATTTCCATTAAGCTTTATGAGGAAAATCTTTCAAAATCATAAACATATTCAAAAACTTATTTAAAAGTTTGCTTAAAATGTGTTTTTTACTATCATATATTTTCCTCCTCTGTAGAGTTAGAAGTCTGTCTAAACATTGAAACATTATGCTACTCTGTGAGAATGAGTATTTTAATATTCAAAGAGAAACTGTCTAGTTTTTCAATATCCCTGTATATGGTAAGAAAATTAATTTAAAACTTTGTTTATAAAACATAGAAATGCATGTCAATATGTTCACACATTCCTGTAGAAATCATTGTATGTATATCTTTACATGTATAGTTTCCTTTTAAACATCAGTATCTTGAATTTCCTTAGGAATGTCTACTCAAATAAGATTCTTGTGTACAGGTTGCTTCATTTATACCTTTTTTAAAAAAAGATTTTATTTATTTTATTTTTAGAGAGAGGGAAAGGGAAGGAGAAAGAGAGGGAGGGAAACATCAATGTGTGGTTGCCACTTGCATGCTTCCCACTGAGGGCCTGGCCCGCAACCCAGGCACGTGCCCTGACTGGGAATCGAACTGGCAACCCTTTGTTGCCAGCACTCAGTCCACTGAGCCACACCAGCCAGGGCTATACCTTTTTTTTAATCTAGGAAAAAAATAGTTGTCCTTTGTTTCTAGTATTTGAATTTTTTACGTTTTGTTTGTAATGCAAATTCAAGCTGTTTGTAGGTGATGTATTGCAATAAATGAAATGGGATTTCAGCAGAGATTTTTGAGGTATTCACCTAGGACAAAGTACTTTTTAAAAATGAGCCTAACTGCAATAAAAGACTTCTTTCTGGTTTTGTGTTAAGCCTGACTTCTGTGGGTTGGCTTCTCTGACGTGATTCAACTTCTCCATTATTATTTATTTCAGTCAATGACTCCCAAATTCAGCTTTTAATGCTGTGCATTTTTCAATGATTTCTGCCTTCTTGTTGGCTAATTGAGGGGGACATTCTTTATGCTTTCTGATAAGGACTTTTATGCAAATGGTGCATCTATTGAGAACTTTATTTGGGGCTTTATTTAATGAGGGTCTCTTCAAATATTTCTCTAAGTGTAATGTGTAATTTAAGAGTAAGTGGACCACTGTGGTCTTTTCTCAGAATCATTGTATTTTTTTCAGGTTATATGCATCTGGAGAATAATAAGCATACTCTTAATTGTATACAAAACAACCAGAGTTCATATCATGCTTAGGTACATATGTTCTTTCTTTTTCTTTTTACTTATAACAGTAACACAGGTAATAGCAAAAGGTGTATGAGGCTGAGCAGAGACTGAACATAATTCAGTGCCATTAGACTACTCAGTTTTCTGTGTAAAAGCCATTGCTGCTAATTTCCCAAGTTATATCCAAGTTGGACCATAAGAGAAATATTGAGCATAGGATGGGAGATGTGCTTGGAAGATGAGAAGTTATAGAGGAGTCTATGTACCAAACATAACAATCAACCCGGGAGTTAATAAATTCTGTTATAACCCCATGAAATAAAATGTACAGAAACTTCTATCACAGTGGTCTGAAATATTAGGCTTTGCCAACATTATTTAACAAAACCACAATATATAAAAGAAACAACAATTTTATGCATATACTTTTAATAAAGAACATAAGAAGATAAGGCTGATCAGTATTTGTGGGTATTTCTCTGGCAAGACACAAGGTTTTAAGAATACCATATATAATCACTTTGAGCAGATTGGAGGGAAAAAGGACTTGTAGCAAATTGGCAACTTGAGCTTACTTGCTGAGGTCCCCAGGGCCTTTCTTTCTCCGGTACTCCAATACATTTCATATGTTACCGAGACCCAGTACTGGTTTTTCTGCTGTGTCTCTTTGCTGATTTAACCAGCAAAGTGACAGCAATTATTCCTTGACTGCATCTTATTGTTATTTTCCTTTCTTTTAACGCCATTCCCTACTTAGAATGTATTTCCTGATACACTACATTCATTGCCTGTTTTAACTCATTGTGCTGATGGCCATATACCAGGCTTATACAAAGAACACATGTAATAGTTTTGAACACTGTGTGGGATACAACCTTATTCATTTTGGGGAAGTAAACATTCATGGGTTGCATGCTATTAGGAGCCACCCATTCATTATTATATTACATAACACCTGCATGCAAAAGATTACAATTTAATATGGCACATTACAGCTATAGTTAAAGAAATGTAGATGTACCATACTTAATAAAACATTTTCTACTGATTGGATGGAGCTTATGAATTTTCTACTAACATGGTACTGTGGAAGGGTTGAACAATCTTGTTAGATGCCTTCTATGACTGAAAGAAACACAGAACATGTCTTTTGAACCAAATAAGTACTTTAGCTACTGTGGGAGCAGAGGTTCTAGAATGTATAAATGGAATGTTTTTCAACTTGCAGTGACTGTTGGAGGACATTTTTCTAGGAGAGGACAGAATTATTCCTTTAAAGTATCTGCTCCTCATCACCAGGCAGCCCATTTTGGAGACAGTGTGATGAGAAGGGAAAGGGATTGATTCTACATTACTGTTCCATTACTGTGAATTTGGGTCATGTTAAATTTCAGGTGCACTTTACAATAATGTGCATTCAATATTCTTAAAACATACCTGCTAGGGTTGTGCTTAAGTCTCCATTTACTGCAATGTCTACATTTTGTGCAATTTGGCATAAACATGGGGAAGCACATTAATTTCACTGACAAAGTCAGCCCTGAGATTTGGCTCTATGGGTTTCCAGAGGAGATAATGACACTGGCTGATGCCATGTAGTGTGAAATATATGTGTCACATGGGGCCAGTGGGGTAAAGAGGCACATATTACATTTATGTCACATAGAGAAAAAGAGTTGCATAAAATGCATGCTTTCAGATTATAGACAAAGTAGGACTCTTCTGAAATGTGATCTTGGCCTATTTTTTCTCACTGTTCTAAGCTGCTGCATGGTAATTGCAGTACTAAAAAGCCAAGTCACTCTAACAGTACACTGGACATTGTTTTGTTCCAAACAGCTAGGTGCATTTGGAGGGCATTTCATTTATTTGGCCTTAATTTTTCTACCTGTACCATAGGGAAATAATTTCTACTCTGTCTATTTCTAAGAACATTGTTGGAATTAATGGAAAACATTAATAAAGTACCCTAATCTCTGAAAGAACAAATCAGCAATGAGAACATGGAAGAATGGAGAGCGCTGGTTTACTTAGAAATACTGTTATGGTTAAACTCTTCATTCTAATCCTGCAATAATACGTATAAGAGCACTAAAGATTACATAGCACCTTTTAGCTGTGGGATCCTAATGAGTGTTCTCATGTTGCAAATGGGAAAGAATGGGTACCAAAGATTGGGGAATGTGATCCCACAGAGGTTATTGGACAGGGCTGCAAGGAAAAGCAGGCAAAGAAGCCAAATCAGGATATGCTAATTATCAAACAAATCTCTGTTGTTTCAATAATAAACCAATTGGAGGAATGCTTATGTATGTAGTCAATACTCAATCTATGGATATTATCAGTCTATAAACTAGTGAGATCAAGGTGCTGAGATAGGAATAAGGTTTCTTTATTTCACTAAGCCCCCAGTAAAAACACTGATTTATTTGGCCTTTTGAAGACTGTAAATCTGTCAGCTTTGCATCTTACCTTTCCTGAGCTTTATGACCTGATTTCTATGAGTGCTAATAGACTCTATGCATCAAAGAAGTTCTTGCTTCCTTTCTGGCTTTGAATTATAGTTAACAGCTACTCTGCCTAAACCCTTGGCAGAAGATGATACATGGAAAAGAGAAAGGCTTGCTTTGAGGCCCACTGGCTATGAAGTAAAAGGCCTACCTTTAAAGGTGCATTTCATGAACAGAAGGCAAGTCTTGTCCATCACAAGGCCACATGGATGGCCAAATAAGCTTTCAAGAGAAACCTAAACAAGGGAGTGTCTTGGAGGGAGAGAGGAAGGGGAAAACTATTCCCATCTGAACATATAGAATTTCATTGGGAAATCCAGTATGCATAGTCTTCTAGGCTGCTTCTTAGTGTCCGTGTTTGAGAAACAGCCCCTGGCCCTGATATATTTAGTCATGTCTAGTATTCTCTCAAGTGATATGCTGGCCACAATCAATTTAATTTATGATAAAAGTCTTATCTTGACCCAAACTACCTAGAGAATCCAAATAAACAGGTCTTTTGTTGCTTTAAGTAGTTGGGTTGCTCGCTTTCTCAGCTCCACTGGAGCCTGAACATTGAGTTGATTGTAGCAGGCAACTCTTTTTACTCAGTAAGGTTTGAGGGAAAATAATTTAGTAAACCTAACATTCCTCCAGGAGCTCAACTCCTTGATATCTGGAAGATGCCTGTAACACTGACTGATCTCCGAAGAGCTGAGATTTCTATGGTCAAGAGCTGGGCACTAGAGCACTGCCTGAGAAACAAACATCATCAATACTTTTAGGTATTATTATTATAAAGAAGCAGCATTCGTGTCCATACTCACTAATTTAGGTACTGGGACGAAAAGAACGGATGATTATAAATTAATGGGGAAATGAATGTAAACTATCTTCAAGGCTAAAATACCACTGAAACTAAGAAAACAAGAAACAAAGAAAAACCAAGGATTGTCATATTACTATTAGATTATCACTATCTGTACACTAACGCTTGCTGTGAAAACACAGATCTTCAGTGCTAACCCTTAGGCCAATTTCAACTGTAAAATTTTATCCTGATGAATAGTATTGTAATTAAATCTGAAAATCACCATTAACCTCCTTAACAAAATCAATGGTCCATAACTTAGGCTTATAGTTTTTCTTTCATCATAACAATAACTCATAAAGGCTAAAATAAAGCTAGGTAGCAGAAAAAAAAGAATAAAAGTAATTAGACAATTTTACCACAGGCTGGTATTACAAGTGTGTAAAATACTAATTGTTATATTTAATAAAGTAGAAATCTGATCTGATCTGATCTTCCCAACTAGCTGTGGTACTTTCAGGAACACCATACATCTATGACAGACATCAGGTTTTACATTTACATTGCTGTTCAGTTCCCAGTTTGAGGACCCTGATCACAGTGTGTCAAATCTCTCTTGAATTTTAGGGACCTGATATAGGGATGATGCTCACAGTTCAGCATATATTTAAATTGATATTTAGAAAAAAATATTGGATAAACAATGCAGAGTTTTTAAACTTCATTTTTCACAATACCATCGCAGAATTTTGTGTAAATGTACTACATATGTGCATGCTTGTCAATGCACATGCATACAAGCAGCAAATGTAGTCTGTAATCTGATTCCCCTCAATTCCACAAAGACCCTATAGATATGATTAATACACTTTCCAGGGGAGTTAAAGACTCCAAGAAAGTCTTTTGAATTCTGCTTTACCACATAAGAAAAATGAAAATAGCCTCTAGAAAGATTTATATGCATTTAGGCCTTCACAGGTTGAGGTGGGGTAGGGGGAGGAAGAGAGGAAGACTGGATGGTATTAACTGCTACCAGATTGATGAATTCAGTCAGTAAATTAAATGACTTGTAAAGTTCCAAAACACTATTTTCACAGCAAGTATTTGACAAAATGCTTTCATATAGTGAAGCTTTCAATCTGCCATGGTGACTTATTTTGAAGATTAAAATGGTTCCCAACATTGAACTCTGTAAACTTCATGGGAGATAGATGATCCTATGAATAAAAAAAAGAAATTCACAAGTGAGCTGAATAACTTAAATATACACATGGTAACATCCATTGACTATAATGTGCAACTGTTAAAATTATGTCTACAAAGAATATGGGTCAGCATTAAAAATGTTAAGTAATAAAAGCAGAATGGAAAATTACATATGCAACATTATAGTTATTTTTAACCTACTAATTGTATCTGGAACAAAAGCCTGAGGAAATACACTAAATTATTGTTAAGTAGTGGGTTTGTGGGTAATTTATTTTTATTTTCTCTACTTTCTATTTGTATTTTCCACATTTTCTCCAGTAGCTATATAATAATATCATCATGCAAAACAATTTATATTTTAAGATTCACGTGGAAATAACAAGAGCTTTGAAATTGGGCAATTCTGAATTTGAATTCTAGCTTTCCTGCTTGTTATCTATTTGACTCTGGACAAATAATATCAATGGACCTTAGTGTCTTCATCTGTAAACAAGGCATAATAAAATCTATCTAAAATGATATTTGGCATATAGTAGGTACTCAGGTAGCTGTTATTAGAATAAGCTTTTTGGAAAACAACTTGGCGTGTATATTAAGAGTCGTTAAAAAGTTCATACCAGTGATTTTGCTTCTTGAATTTTATACTAAGAAAATCATCATTAATTAAGAAAAAGATTTATGCCCAATGATATTATTGGCAGCCTTATTTATAATAGTAAAAATTAGATAACATCTTAATGTTGAACAGCAGTGAATTGGCTAAGTAAACAACAGTGCCTTGATATAATGGGAAATTATTTTCAGCATTAGTTTAAAAAAGCAGAACTCAAAACTGAATACAATATGACCTCAATGTTTAAAAAAATATATTCATAGAAAATATTTGAGGGGATACAGCCAAATGTTAACATAAGCAATCTTTCAGTGGTGGATTATGGGTGATTTTGATGTTATACATACTTTTTTATCTTTTTTATTATAAGTATGTTTAATGTACTTATAAAATGGATTCCAGGTCAGAGGAATGGTGGCATGAGAAGTCCCCTTGGTCTCTCCCCTTGAAGTTTCAACAATTTGAACAGCTATAACTCAACAAAGGATTCCCTGCTAATGCACACACCCATCTGACAGATCCACTAATTGAAACATCTAAAGGTGGGCAAATGGGAGTGAACTGGGGTAGTGGGAAGGGAGAAAAACAGAGATGAACCACAGACACAGCCCTGCAGCCCGACACTCACTGTGGGGCTCAGCCCGGAGAGGGGAGAAATCAGGTTGTGGAATAGCACTCCCTTCAGCCAGTAGGAGCAAAGAGATTTAGAGAGCATTCTTGCAGTAGTGGGCAGTACAAATTGCGGCTAAGCCCAGTGACCTGGGCAGAGAGGAAGCACAGAGGTGTGGCAAGTGTCTGGCAATTGGCATTTCAGACAGAAACATAGCAACAGAGCCTGACCAGCTTTCCCCAACCTCTGAAAGCTTGCCTTTCCACACCCTTCATGTTGGGATAAAGAGCACATTGTCAGCGAACCTAAGAACTGGTGTAACCCACACCATTTTCTTAAAATTGTTTCTGTAAATAAGAACTTGTGAAATCATATGTAGCTATGGATAAACTTCCTGTTTCCTCAAAGCATTCTAGGGGCTAACCTTGAAGGAAGCAGACTCCAGCTTCCAGGCATTTTAGCTCCAGGACATTTGCTCACCTTTGACAGTAAAACCAGAATGGCAAAAACCAGATCAACTGTTGATTGGCTCTGAGAATGACAAAAATCACACCAATTGTTGATTGCCTCTGAGATGGTTACTGGAGTACACTGTGCTGAGTCACACATACCACCTTCAATGGGGAGCCAGCAACCCCCTTCCTCCCACCAGTTTCCTTTGTTCTTCCTATCCCTTTGAGGCTCATAAAAACTGTCAGGATGGGCGGGGTAGGACAATTGGAAACCTAATTACAATGATAGCGTTTTGGACTACAAATATGGCCAACAAGGAATATGGCTGCCATTTGGACTACAAGTAATATGGCGACTGAACTCTGACCTAGAAGAGGTGGCTAACGTCAGACCAGGAACCACCAGTGATATGTGGCCGCTTTGTTCACCAAGAACCAATCCTTAGCTCCCATGAGGAGTCAAGCCATATAACGCCCCCCCACCACCACTCCTTCCCTTCTCCCACATGGTCTTTTCTCAGCCTTTTCTCTGTACGGGCGGGCGGAGAAACCTTTGCCCAGGAGCATAAACCTCCAAAATAAAGCTCACTTGCCTGTTTTCATGGCTAATTGGTGGCTTATTTCCTCGGCGGGGTCTAAGAAAACCTTACATTTGGTGCCAAAACCCAGGAGGAGTCATTGTCTACTGAAGACTGCTCCTCCCCCAGCTCCCAGAGGAGGCCTCGTGGCTACCCCACCAGTCTGAGCATTGAACCAGGGTAAGTGCTGCTGCCCCTTCCCTTCCTGGTCCTTGGATTCCGCTCCGGGTCCCTGTCCATTGGAAAGGCTGCTTTCCTAATTGAAAATCGTAGCACTACACTGGGGGAAGCCCTTCCGGGAGAAGCTGTTTTCCCTTCGGGATTCAAGAACAGGTGGAGATGTCCCTTGGGCTTGAACTCTCTTTCTGTCTGACTTGGTCTGTGACTTGAGTTGCGGGACGCCAATTCTCAGTCACTGATCTTCCGTCCTTGGGACCACGAATTGGAGGGCAGGGGTTCAAACCAGACACTAAGTCGCCTCTAGGGTGTCTGGCCTCAAACAGAAATGACTGCTTTTTCTGTCCACTACGGCCTGGCCGTTATATGAGTTCAGTAATTGCAAAACCTGGCCCCCTGAAGGCACTTTTAATTTCGTTACCCTTACTGACCTAAATAATTTTTGCAGACAGACTTGGAAATAGTCTGAGGTCCCCACATTTGGAGCTTCCGAACTTTGTGCTCCCGCCTGGACTTGTGTGCCCATGTCCCACGGCACAAGTCCTCTTGCCCCGGAAAAATTCTGAATCTGCACTCACTCCAAAACTAACTGCTCCGGAGCCTCCTCCTTCTTTTTCTGACTCTCTTGAAGATCTTGCTCCCCCGCTTCTTCCCCCTCCTTTATCAGCTCCCACCAGCGGCTACTCCAGCCCCGGTCCTCCCCTCTAAACCAGATTCTCCCCCTCCCTCTGAGGACCTTTCTTCCTCCTCCTCACCCCCCCTCCCTTTATCAGCTCCTGCTAGCAGCCTATGCTGGTAGAGGCCTATGCCGGTAAAAGCCGAGGCGGTGCCAGAAAAACCCAACTCTTTGTCTCCAGCCTTTTGGAACACAGTGAGTATGGTCTCACCAGCAAAGCTGGCCTGCCTTTCTCACCTTCGGAATTAAGGAAATGTGCTGTAGAGGTGGGAAATTTCAAAGTGTTAGGCCTATGTTCGGAAGTAAAAACAATAAGATCTGAAATGAGTGCTCCGGTTCTGTCCGGGCTCCGAAGAAAAGAGGCAGTTCCTCCCCCTGGCCCAAATCTTTGGGTGTCCCTATGTAAGTGAGGGCCTTGCGGGGGTGTCTGAGGTCAATCCCTGAGATGTTTAGGGGCCTCATAAAAAATTCCAATCACAGTGATTAAACTCCGGCTCGTCTGGGAAAGTGCACCTAAGGGCTGGTCACCCAGCACTCCAAGCCCCCCTGGCTGTATTAGACAGTCAGGGGAGAAACCAAAACATGTAAAAAAGTTAGGGATAACCAAAGGAATAGGCTTTTGGAAGCCCTGCACACAAACAGCACAATCTAACCCGCTACTTGGATTCCTTAGCCTTTTCTGCCTCCAAACCTGACCAGGGAAAAAAGTAAGTTTGAATCATTAGCCTGTTGTAAGCTTGCAGCAGTTATCTTTTTTTGTTTTTACCCTAGTTTTTTTATTTTATTATTTTTAATATATTTTATTGATTATGCTATTACAGTTGTCCCATTTTCTCCCTTCACTCCGCTCCACCCTGTATACCCTCTCCCACCCACTTCCCTCCCCTTTAGTTCATGTCCATGTGTCATAAGTTCTTTAGCTTTTACATTTCTCATACTATTCTTACCCTCCCCCGTCCATTTTCTACCTACAATCTATGCTACTTATTCTCTGTACCTTTTCCCCCTCTCCTCCTCCCACTCCCCTGTTGCTAACCCTCCATGTGATCTCCATTTCTGTGGTTCTGTTCCTGTTCTAGTTGTGTGCTTAGTTTGTTTTGGTTTTGCTTTAGGTGTGGTTGTTAATAATTGTGAGTTTGCTGTCCTTTTACTATACATTTTTTTTAAATCTTCTTTTCTTAGATAAGTCCCTTTAACATTTCATAAAATAAGGGCTTGGTGATGATGAACTCCTTTAACTTGACCTTATCTGAGAAGCACTTTATCTGCCCTTCCATTCTAAATGAAAGTTTTGCTGGATAGAGTAATCTGGGATATAGGTCCTTGTCTTTCATGACTTGGAATATTTCTTTCCAGCCCCTTCTTGCCTGCAAGGTCTCTTTTGAGAAATCAGCTGACAGTCTGATGGGAACTCCTTTGTAGGTGACTGTCCCCTTACCTCTTGCTGCTTCTAGGATTCTCTCCTTCATTTTTCCCTTGGCTAATGTAATTATGATGTGCCTTGGTGTGTTTCTTCTTGAGTACAACTTCTCTGGGACTCTCTGAGCTTCCTGGACTTCCTGGAAGTCTATTCCTTTGCCAGGTTGGGGAAGTTCTCCTTTATTATTTGTTCAAATACATTTTCAATCTGTTGCTCTACCTCTTCCCCTTCTGGTACCCCTATAATTTGGATGTTGGAATGTTTAAAGATGTCCTGGAGGTTCCTAAGCTTCTCGTTTTTTTGAATTCTTATTTCTCCATTCTTTCCTGTTTGATTGTTTCTTTCTTCCTTCTGGTCCACTCTATTGTTTTGAGTCCCAGTTCCCTTCCCATCACTATTGGTTCCCTGTGCATTTTCCTTCATTTCTTTTATGGTAACCTGCATTTGTTCATCTAATTTGTGACCAAAATCAACCAATTCTG